GGGGCGCTCGGCAGCGGGGAGGGGAGCAGGGTCGGAGCTCCAGACGGCCGGAGGCCGAGGCGATGGCCGGCGATCTCTGAATGCAGGGCGGGGGGAAGGAGGGAGAGGAGTGGTCTCAAGTTGCAGGGGAGAGGAGGGGTGAAGTGGAGGAAGGGCTTTGGCTGCCGGAGCCCGTGCGAGTGGCATCATCCAGCCGGCTGCCCTGTAAGCCCCGCACACTCTGCATGGGGGGGAAATCCGGACATTGACAAATTCCCCCCGGACGCTATTTTTAACTGAAAAAAGCAGGACATGTCCGGAGGAATCCGGACGAATGGTAACCCTAAGTTTGTGGGTAGTGTGGTCAGTGTGAGATAATGACAAGATCTCCCCAGAGGAAGTGAAACTGGATCCCTGGGGCGGGGGAGGTGGCCCAGAGACAGGATGTGGAGGGAGAAGAGCAAAGGGGCCAGGCCAGAGCCTGGGGATCCCCCAGACAATGGGGCAGGGGGGAGGGGGAGACACAGAGCAGCCAGAGAGGCAGGAGGGGGCAGCGTTGGCCCAGCCCGGTGGGGAGGGAGATGTACAGGGTTTAGCCCAGCAGGGAGGATGAGGCTGGAGCAGGTCCCTGGGCTCTGGGCAGGGAGAGGCCGTTCGAGACCCTGGCCAGGGCCCTGACAGTGGGGAGAGGGTGCAGCCCCCAGGGCAGAGCTGGAGGAGATGACGGCTGCAGATCCCGTTGGAACAGGGAAGATCCGCTACCGACTGCGTGTGATAGACCCAAATGCACTGACAGGGGCCCTCTCCTTTGTCCCGCAGGTTCCCGGTGTCAGGCCCGGCTGAGGGGAACAGCTGTGGGGCGGTGAAGGGGAATCGGATTGATTCTGACACCTGCAGCTCTGGATTTCAGTGGATTTGCCAGAGAGACGCCATCCCGCTCTGAACAGGGTACGGGGGAGACCTCAGCGTGCAGCACTGTTAGCCCCATGTCACACGTGGGGAAACCGAGCCACAGACACTGACCTGCCCAAATTACATGGAGAATTGGTGGCAAAGTGGGAAGTGGAACCTGGGAGTCCTGGCTCCCAGCCCCCGTCCCTCTAACCCACTAGCCCCTCCCAGAGCTGGGGATAGAACCCAGGAGTCCTGGGTCCCAATCCTACCTCAGCCTATGGAAGAGCAATTCCAAGCTTTGCGTATCCCAGCAGGGGCTGGAGAGCGCTGCAGGGCCGGGCTTGGGCCGTAGGTATCAGGCTCTGCACAGCCAGGGGGAAATTTATCCCTCACCCCCCAGGACTGGGAGAGAAGAGTCTGCCCCAGATCCCCTCCTCATGTACATCAGCCCAGATCCAGTGCGTCCCAGCTAGGGATCTGGGTCCAGTGACTCCAGTGGATGTGCAGCTCCATTCACACCAGCTGGGGATCTGGGTTTCCACCTGTATTTCACCCCTGATTAATTTCCTTTCACCTCTGTCAGGTCCCACTCTGAGCTTTCTTCCATGGCCCGTTCATTGCTCCCGTCCAGCTTGTGACCTGACGCACCTCTGCCCATCCTGCCCTAATGGATTGTTAACTCCTGTCACTAACGATGGGGTCTCAGCTTCCCCAGTCCAGCACCAGAGCTTTACCAGCTGACGTGCTGTCCACTTGCTACCTCCTTGGAGGATTTTTAAGAAGAACCTCGCCCCCCCCAGCCTGCCCGTGATCCCAAATGAAACTGGAAACATTGCACATCATATTTCTTATGGAAATATGCTTATGAATATGACAACTGGAATATGCTTCATGCAAAATGCTTCATATAATTGGATAGCTTGTAATCTACTGAATGTGTTCATCCTATTTGTGTGCATGGATCATTTCTATATCTGAAGTTGGAAATATGACATGTAAACCTGTGTTACTAATGTAGTTTTGCTAAGTGAGGACCTTTAATGGTACTTTGGCTGGGAAAGGCTGGAGGGAGCCTAGCCTAGCGAGTTCAGGTGAAAGGGGGCCAAGGCTGGCAGAAGAGTCCGGTTCAGTGCGTGTCCCAGCCCCCCAAGTGACACCCTGGGGGTCTGACCCATCACAGAACCTTTCCCTGCGTGTCACTTGATGATCTCTGGTGTGACTGTCTCTGCCAGAGGAGCCGGGTTGGGGTGCTCCGTGGCAGAGGCTCCAAGGGGAGGAGCTAATGTTCTTCAGCGAGCATCTCTGGCCCTTGCTGCTGGGGATGTCCCCCCTTTGCCAGCCCCATCCAGTTCCCCACTCGCTGCGGCAGCTTGGGACAGCCCCATGGAAAGGACAAGGCCCAACTCATCCAGGTCACAGTCGCTTTGCTCGGCCTTCTGGTTTCTCCACTGGTTTGCTGCAGATCCAGTGTGCGTCCCTGGAGCAGCCTGAACTGGAAACATGGCCACTGTTTGCAAAAGCACATGTTCCTTCTCCCGCTATTTGAAACCTGCAACAGCAACAAATAATAATAAAAACCCGACATCTGTTAAAGCAGCTTCAGCTAGCAGTGAAAATCCAGCCCCGAGCGATTCACCCCAGGTCACACGGCAAATCTATGGCAGAGCCAGGCAATGAACCCCCATTTCCCAAGTCAGCCCCGGGCCTTAACCAAAGGCCAGTGTCCTGTTTTAAATGTGAGCTAATAGTTAATAGCTAATGAGTTAATAGAAGCAAAAGGGACCCACCAGTTGTTGAATTTGGTGCCGTTGGCCCATTTCCAGGGCTGGTCCAGTTCCCTCTGGAGGCCGATCCAATAGTCAGAGGGGTCTTTATAGCGCACCACAAAATCCTTTGTTACAAAAATAGAAGTAAATATGCATCACACACCATTTCAGGTGAGCCCTGGATTCTCCGAGCTACTACACAGGGCGCTGGGCAGGGGGTCCAGGCTGGGAATTCTACACCAAGAAATAGCAACCCAGATGCAAAGGCTCCACCCATCCACTCCATGAACTACGGGGAAGTCAGGCCATGTGTGGACATCATGCTAAGACTAATCTAGTGTATTTCATAGAGCTGGGTGGAGATTTTCCATCAAAATATTTCTGTTTTCTCTGCAAAAGTGAATTTGTCCAAACATAAATGTTGATTTTGCTGAAATTTTTCAATTTTCTATTGAGCGATGATTGTGTTTCAGGTCAGTCTGTAGCCAGCTGAGCGGCCAGGGTGCTTCATGGGAGTCATAGTTTGGGTCCCTAACAGAACAAGAAGTAATGGTCCCAAGTTGCAGTGGGGGAGGTCCAGGTTGGATATTAGGAAACACTATTTCACTAGGAGGGTGGTGAAACACTGGAATGCGTTACCTAGGGAGGTGGTGGAATCTCCTTCCTTGGAGGTTTTTAAGGCCTGGCTTGACAAAGCCTTGGCTGGGATGATTTAGTTGGGGATGGTCCTGCTTTGAGCAGGGGGTTGGACTAGATGACCTCCTGAGGTCCCTTCCAACCCTGATATTCTATGATTCTATATCTCCATCCTCCTCTATGGGTTGGATTCCCCCAGACTACATCTATAATGCACCATGGTTTTCCTATTGGCTGAGCCACTGCTGTGCATCATGGGAGATGTAGTCCAGCCAGGGATCCTGGCATACCGAAGAGAATGGGGGCACAAGACATCCAAACTACAACTCCCATGAAGAACTATAGACAACGTTCAATGTGGAACAACGCTGAAACAAAATGTTGGGTTTGTCAGACCAAATCAAAACTGTTTTGATCCGTGAGTGTCAAAAGAAATTGGTATGATCAAATGCCAAAACCAGACATTGTCACATACACCTTTATCCCGATATAATACGACCCAATATAACACGAATTCGGATATAATGCGGTAAAGCAGTGCTCCGGGGGGGGGGGGAGAGGGGGGAGAGGGAGGGGCGGCGGGACTGTGCCCTCCGGTGGATCAAAGCAAGTTCGATATAACGCAGTTTCACCTATAACGCAGTAAGATTTTTTGGCTCCCGAAGACAGCGTTATATCGAGGTAGAGGTGTATTTCTGGAACTGAATGGAAAGTTAAAAGTTGAGTTATTTCAGCTTCTTGTCCTGATTCTGATACTTTGCCATTTGATTTTATCCTGAATTTCCCATAGGCTGGAAATTCTGATTTTCAACCAGCTCCGGTAATTAGCAGATATCTGGCTCCTCTTCTCAGCTGCATTCTAGGTCTTTAATACTCCTGCATTCTTACCAAATCCCTATTTTACTGAGAATCTCATGCTGTTTGGTGCTTTTCTTAACACCCCAGCTCCTGGAGTCAGGGGAATACAAGACACTCTGATCTTTCATAAGTGTCTAACACTCATGGTTGCAGAGAAAAACTTGAAAATGTGACGTCCTAAAAGCTTCGACACCAGAAAAAAAGATTAAAAGCCTTCAGAGCTGTTATTTTAAAGTCAATCTCGTGATTTTGGGAGTCCTGACTGCTGATTTTTAAACACCTCGTTGGCAATGCTGCTCCTGTCACATAAGGGTGGTAAAGCAACTGGATTCCCCCGCTGGGAATTTCCGGAAACTGAGGGCTGGTGTATTAGCCCCACACCGCTCCAATATGCAATCCCCAGTGTACAGGCCTAATAGAGAGCGGCAGGAGCATTCTGCACTCTGGCTATTCTTAGTTGTGTAAGTGGCTGTGGCAAGTTGCCATCAATTCAAGCAGCATCTGGGGCCATGGCAGCCCCAGGACAAGCCCAGCATAAAGCCGCCTTTGCCCCCCCTCCCCCCACCCTGTGCAGCCCAGAATCTGTCTCACCATTTCCTGCTGGGTGTCAATCACGGCCAGGGAGGCACCGAGGGCAGAGCAGTGGCTCTGGCTGTAGGTCCAGTTCCCTTCGGCCTGTGAGAAATAGTAACACTTCTCCAGGTACCTGACCCAGCCGTCTGGGCAGGCGGAACAAGATGGACACGGCTCAGGTTTCTTTGCTGGAGATGAGAAAGTAACAGGGTAAGAGATTTACCCTTCTCCTACTGTAGCCAAGGGAGAACACACACACACACACACACACACACACACAAGCTTTACAACAGGGAGAGGCCAGTGCCACCCACCAGCTCCCCATAATAATGCAGGCTGTGAATTTGGAGCCGCGTTTCCAGCCGTGGTTTCCTTTGCTGCTGCCCAATTTTGCCCCCTGCAGGCACAGACGCTGCCATTGAGACACTAATTACACCGGCACGTCAGGCACTTCAACTTTTGCATGGTAGGGCTGGTCTATGGGGGAAGCAATACCAGGGTAGTGAGCTGTGGGCACAAAAGGATGAGGAGGCCTTGTATGGGATCAACCACCCAATAAGATAATTATAAACAGTCAGCAAGTGGTGCTGTTACTCCCATGCACCTACAGGTGAGATGCTAGGTATAGAACAGGAACACCGAGGATGATGCAACTAGCCACCAGGTGGTGCTGTTTTCTCTGTTTGAATATAACAGAGGAGGGGGAAAGACCCTCTGGATCCATTCACTGAGGAGGAGCAGGGGGGCTTTCAGGAAGGTTTGGATCCTGGTTTCTGTGAAGCCAGCCAGCTCTGAGAGAGACTGGACTGGGGGGAAAGTGGCTTTATTAGACAGGAAAGGTGAGTGTAGACCCAGGTTTGTATTTTATGATTTTGTTTCATGTTACCATTTGTTCCCATCTCACTCTCTCATTTATAATTAAATCTTTATTCTTTCTTGAACTAACCTCTCTTGTTTATTAGCTGTGCTCACAAGGGCTGTGTGAGATACAGGAGCGGTGGTTTATGGTAAAACTATTAAACAGGGACACACTGCACCTCTGGGGGCAGAGGATCTGGGATTTCTGGGAGGAGCCAGTGTCAGGGCTGGATATAACAGGGGAGCACTGCAAAGGGATGCGGGGACTGGGGTGCTGCTATTGTTACCTGCAGGGCAAAGCCAGGGCTGGCCTAGCTGGGAGGAGAGGGCTTGTGAGATTGACAGCCAGGTGGGTTTAGGGGGGCTGAAAGCCAGCTGGACACAGGTACGGCTCCCTCCCGCTGCAGGCAGGGGGGTGACACGGTGACTCACAGCCCTGGGTAACCAGGTGTGTTGGGGTGACAGGGCAGAGCGAGCCAACAGCCAGTGGGAGCTGGACACTGGGGGCGGGGGAGGCCCCACAGAAACACCCCGAGCTCAACAGATTCTGATGTGACTGTTGAAGCAGGGGTGGGCTGTGGGGGAGGGGCAGGGGGGAGAGTTTGGGGGGGATTGTGACGTTTCCAGCACTGAGTGTAAGATGTAGAGACGGGGTCAGTGCGGGCTCCACACTCACCTGGCAGTGAGATGAGGATGATGACGGTGATGGTCAGTATGAGATTGAGAACCACACTTGGAACTGCCCAGCGACGTGCCCATGGTTCCAACCCAGACAGCAAACCTGTAATAGAAACAGCCAATAATGCTCACGCTGCTGCAATGGAAGGGAGGGCGGGGCCCTATGCTTATTAGCAGCAACAGCTGGGGCTGATTTTTAAAAGGGAATATTTTGCAAATATAGAGGGAGAGAAATTTGGAGAGCATGAAGTGAAAATTTTCATTCCAAATGGGGAGAAACATTTCAACATTGGGGGGGGGAGGGGTCAGAAAAAATGGGCTTCAATTTGAGGTTCTCAGAGTTTTCGCATGCCCCTTGAAAATGTTTCCAGTGGCAAATGCATTTACTTTAGAAGGAAGAGAATGGGGGTGGGGAGGTGCGGGGGTGGGGGACCCCACCACATTAAATACAAAAATTGATTATTCTCCTATTGTAAAACATAACACCCCCCCCCCCCAAACAAAAACTTGCCCATTTGAAATGCAGACTGGCATTGCTTCAAATGCAAACCATGAAAATTTCTGAACCAAAAAAGTTGAGGGAAAAACATCTCTCATGTTCAAAAAAGCATTTTCCACCCAGATGATGTTGATGAAAAGTTGACCAGCCTGTCTAGCATGGACTGAAGCAGGGACCTCTGGATCGAAAGACAGTGTAAGGGTAGGTCCACACTACCCGCCCGATTCGGCGGGTAGAGATCGATCTTCTGGGATCGATTTATCGCGTCTCATCTGGACGCGATAAATCGATCCCAGAAGCGCTCCCTCGTCGACTGTGGAACTCCTGCTCGCCAAGAGGAGGAAGCGCTGTCGATGGGGAGCTTGCCTGCGCCACGTGGACCCACAGTAAGTAAACTTAGTTCGATCTAGGAAACGTTGACTTCAGCTACGCTATTCTCGTAGCTGAAGTTGCATTTCCTAGATCGATCCCCCGCCCCAGTGTGGACCAGCCCTAGGACACTGAAGGCCGTGGCTGGCTTAAGTGTCTTTTACATGGACCAGCCACTAGAGGGAGCTAAAGGGCCCTCACTGAGTTAAAGTGTAAGAAGACCCCAGAGAGGCAGGTGTACCTGTAGGGCAGATTGTGCAGCTCTCTCCACCCTGTGGGGGGATCGGCACATGAATTGTTCTGTTTTGTGTCATTGGGGTTTCCTGGGAACCCAGGCGTGGATCTGGCTCTGTCGGCTCAGCAGGAGATGACTCGTTCCACATCTCTTCTCTCTCTGAAAGACTCATGGAGTCCAACTTGGGAGACATGTTCACCTGAACCACCTTTCTGCAGCCAGCGATAACTACGGCCCTGTTCGCAGTGGGTCTGGTGGTGCCAGCAGAGCCCTTCGTAAGGACAGTTTCAAAGCAGCTCACTCGATTACAGCTCAGGCGCGGTTTGGCTACGTGGGGTGATCAGGAAAAACCCCTTTCAAATATAATTGGATTGTGAGTTTTGCCCGAATACCCCGACCAGCCAGGCTGCATCTGGGTTGCATTTGAATGAACGGTTTCAAAGCTTCCCTTGACACTGCTTTTATCCCCAGGGTCAACCAGGCCTTAGCAGGCGCTGACCAAATCAACTCCAGGTCACTGAATCGTCCTTGTTCTGTTTCTTTTCACTGACGTCCCGTCCCGTGGGGTCTGGGTTCGAGGTTTGCCTGTGGAGAGAATTGTC